AAGTAAGGCATTTAAAAAGATGTTTTTGTTACAAAATCAGGGGTCCACATTAAAACCTAAACCCTAAACACTAAATAGTAGTTTCCATTTTATTTTCAAGTATCCTAAAATTTCGGCGTTTCTTTTATCATGGGTCTTCGTTAAACAGTGTAGTCAGCTTCGCTTCGTCAATTCCCGTCTACATAGCATGGACTCTTCTTGGACTACCAAACTTTCTGCTGCAGCACTGCTTCAGCCCCTCCCTAAAGCCTGAACCCAAGAATCCTACCAAGTTTAGTAGACCCTATAACCCCCTAAACCCTAAACCCTGACCCTAAAATCCCAAAATGCCCAAATCCACACCTTAAAGCTGTTCTTAAACTTCCCAAAATCTCTGCCACAGCACTGCTTCAGGACCAGCAGAGATAAAGAGATCAACTCTTTGGGCTTCCTGGGCACTCTGAATAGCAAAGAGGTTTAGGGTTTAGGGTTTAGGGTTAGCCGGTTAAGGGTTAAGGGTTTAGGGTTTAGGGTCCCCCCACCCAGTAATAGTGACTATTATGGAAATAATAAGGATTATATTCGGGTCCTCTTATACTCCTATTATAGGGGCTCGGGGTTTAGAGTCTGGAGTTTAGGGTCTCTGTCGGTTTTCGTGGTCTGAACTGAGGCTATAGGTTTTGGGGTAGCAACAGGAGTTTCTGGTGGCGTTTCTGAAGCTGGGGGGCCCTTACCGGCCCTGCCGAGACATAGAAGATGGCCGGGCTGTTCATTACATGGTTTGTCGGAAGCTTCCGTAGATAAAACAGGAAACTGTTCATGCCCCAAGACCACTCAGATGATGTAGACTGCGCAATGAAGTCGTACGGATCGAGGGTTCTAGGGAACTGAAGGGTTTGAGAGGCGCACGGTTTTAGGAGGTTGTAAGAGATCAACTTGTACGATCCAATGGTTCATGGTCTAGACTCTAAGGTGCGGGGTTTGAAGGCTTAATCTGGGTTGCTGTTAAGGGACTTAAATTAAGTTATCATAATGGGTATATAGATATATATAGTAGATAGTAGGGTTTCCCCAATATAGTAACTTAATTTAAATTCCTTAACAGCAACCCAGTAAAGTGCGGGACTCAGATCAAAGGTTTAGGATTTATGGGGCGCGATGGGGCGTGAAGCGGCCAGGGCCGCACGCTCGCATCCCTGCTCAGCTGCAGCAACACCCCCCCAATAGGGTTTAGGGTTTAGGGTTTAGGGTTCACCCTATCCCGCCTTAGGGTTTCCCACTCCCTCTATGAGGCGTCCGCCCTACGGAGTCCAAGCCCCAAGCCGGGGGCATAAATCCAAAACGACCCGGACCCCTAATTCTTTAAAAGCCCAATCCCTTCAACCCTAAACCCTTAGAAAACCATCAATCCCTCCAACCCTAAACTCTAAACCCTTAATCCAAGCCTTCCCCTGTTGGAATCTTGTGGGCTGTGTTCGCGAGGCTTGGGGCTTCCTTGCAGGTTCCGGCGACGTATTTTCTGAAGTATAACCGTAGCTATCCATTTAGCCAAGGAGGTACTATTTATAGGGTGCTAAAATAATATAAGGGGAAAATGGGGGGGTTTTATAGGGAGAATGGAAAAGAAAAATCGAAAGTACTATAATCTATCTATAGACCTGCAGGTCCAAGGTAGGTATTAATGCTATAGATTACTCAGTTCGTACCTTCTAAGGCGGGCGCGCGCGCGCGCGCGGTCTGATTAAATTCTGGCATGGGCCTTGACAAAGCTAAACCTGCACGCAATGTGCCGCCCCTAACGTCAGCACCTAAGTAACATTCCCAGGGATGTTCTAAAGCTCGGAAGGAGACCAGTAGCGGTATCTTAAAGGAGCTTCTGGAAACCCAGAACTTTCAACAAAAATATCCCTAAACCCTATACCCTAGACTCTAAACCCTAAATCTCCAGCCCAAGGATCTAAATTGTAGCTACTGCAGGGCTGCTGCTGGAAAATACTTTATACTGAATGATCTCAGCAGACTTGAACACTATAGTTCCCAAGTGGTGTCACGCAGGATGCGTCATATCTTTTATCCATATCAGATTCGGGACTACTGAAGTTGCTTCTGTTTTTTTGTCAAAGTGGCGGTGGCTGTTTTCATGAAGCTGACCAACCGTTGTTCTTGTGGCCATCTTTGCTTTAGATCACAGTTGATACTAAGCTTCTGTGGAAAATCTCCGGAAAACATGCATTGGATTACCTAAACCCTAAACCCTAAACCCTAAACCCTAAACCGTAGGATTTCAGGGTTTCCTGAACTTCGAGGTACCTTGTTGGGGTCCCCGTAATAAGGATTTCAATATTTGGGGGTTCTATATTGGGGTCCCCTTATTTAGGGAAACTACCCTTTAGGGTCTGCATTTAGGGCCCTCAACCACGAACCCTGGGTTTTATTGTATCCAACTACCTGGTTGCTGGTTAGGGTTTAGGGTGTAGGCCTCTGCACACACTGGATCTACACCGACCCTGCTCACGCTCAAGGTCTATAAGCGTCGCTTGCCTCTCACATCCCTAAACCCCTAGCCCTAAACTTACTGCCGCTTAGTGGGGAACAAAGGAATACATTCTACAGGGAATATATAGGGATAATGTTCCCTTATCACTTATACCCTGCTAAGGACCAGTACGGAAACCATGCATGTTCTGAGATCCCAAAGGCTTAGCCCCAAATTCCTGACCTGTAAGCCCACACACTAAAGCTTACCATTGCCATAAGTGGTACCCCAAGCAAAAATCCCAATCTCTAAGCCTTGCAGGGTAAGAACACTTACCAAGCGCATTTAAAAAACCAACATAGTAACTCCAGTCAGCCGAGCCGCCCTATTAAGATACTTCCTAAGTCCCAAGACCTGCCACGCAAAGCAACCTAAACCATAAATCCCTAAATGGGCCTAGGGTTTAGGGCTTAGGGAGTTTAGGGTTTATGGTCCCTATAACCCTGACGCCATAAGGCCCCTAAATCCTAGACCCTAACCCCTCAACCCACTCAATAATTGGCTTCCAGGCGTCAACGCGCCAGTCTCCAGGCCAAGATGGAGGAGGTTGCTAAGCTGTGCCTATCACATGAGCTATAGTTAGGGTTTAGGGCTTAGGGTTCTAAACTCCTTAAAGGGGGCTCTATAATGGATGATATAACCCCTTTGTTTGGGGTTTGGGGTCTAGGGCTTCGGGCTTAGGTTCTAAACTCCTTAAGCGGGGTTATATAGAGGATTGGACAGGGGAGTATTTGGGGGTTATTCAGTGGGATACTACTGTTGACACTAAAAAATCCTGCATGACCTTAATATACTATAGTAACATTATACCCGAGGTTTAGGGTACTTAGGGTCATGCAGGATTTCTAGTATCCCTAAACCCTAAACCTATTCCTAAGGGTTAGGGTACTTAGGGTAATGCAGGATTTCTAGTATCCACCCTAGGACTTTCGACTCAAGCTCAAAGGCCGCTCCACAACTGCTGCGCAGGCTGACAAGCTGTATATGAGCTACTGTCTAAACTCCTAGGATCCCCCTTAATAATGGAGAATCAAATGGAAAAGAAAATGAAAAATGAAATGGAAACTAGGATTATATAGGGGATTATAGGGGTTATAATCTAAACTCCTAGTATCCCCCTTAATAACCTCTATAGTAGTCCCCTATATAATCCCCTATATAGACCCCTGTAAGGAGTTTAGACTAGTTTAGACTATAGCTCATATACTTACTAAGTCCCCTGACGTCTCCCGCACGTCCGTACCCCCTATAGACTGCTTCTGTAGAGCCCACATGCCTAAAACCTAGCTAGAGAGCCAGTAGTCCATAAATATAGTCTCCTCGCCCCTAATTTCCCACTACTCTGGGTTAAGGTAGCCCAATATTTTGGGTATCTCGGCCTTCAGGCCGTGTCTCCTACTTCCGGAAGCCTATACCTTGAGCCCTGTACATTTGCCACAAAAGCCCCGTACAATCATTCAGGGTGGGCCGAAACCCGAAACGTTTTGGGTACTGCTTGCATGCTGCAACCCCTGGTGCAGGATTTTGGTGCTAGGTCCTGATGATTCCTCAAACTCATCTCTCCCAGAATCCCCAAAAAGCGCCCCCCATAATCTCCGTATGATCCCTATGTATATATCTACACATATATATATATATACAGAGATACATATATATGTATATATATATATATCCCGAGAATCTCGGTGAGATGCCCTATCTTGAAAAAAATAGATGCACTCTACAACGGATGCAAGTCCGTTCGTTTAGCGTTTAGGGACACCAGAAACTGCCTAGAACGGACCCCATAACTTGGTAGAGGATGCGTTCTAGGGACCATTACATAGGATTGCAAAAGGACTACCATGATGATCCATGTCCCCAGTCCCTACTATGCAGACCATGCATCCTAGACTTCGCATGATGTGGCAGTTCCCATTAACCGGGGGACCCCAATCTAAACCCCCAAATGCCAGACTCCTTTTCATGGGGGCCTCCAAAAAAGTACATTGATTTTGGGAAACCCCCCACACAGTGATTTCTATTTCAAAGCTACAGGTTGTTCAAACCCTACTTAGGCAATCCCTCCATCAAAGTCCAAAGACATCAACAGTATGTTTAAGGTACGATACCTGGTTCCGTATAAGTCCTTCTTCCAAGAAGGTAATCTTTGTAGGGGCTTGTTTGGGGTCCTATCCGATCCTTGCTCTCATTGCGAGATTCTTCCTACTTGCATACAATTCTCACGAAGCCCAACACCTTTCAAATGACTACCCGGGGACTTACCTACAAAGCCTAGTTACACCCAATAATGGGCGACTGTAACCCAAAGTAATATGAAATTAGGGGAAAGTAGTTCATAATTCTGGGCCACTGGCTTTCTAGGTAACCCTTAAGCTCGAAACCCTAAGCCTTAAACGCCCCAAATAGCCTAAGCCCTAAACCCTATAATCCCCAAACCCCCAACCCCAAACCCTAAACCTAGATTGGTGTGCACACTCGCCGCCTGACTCTCCGCTGACGCGGAGCCTTGCCGTTGCCAGGAGCTCAGTCTGGGCTGCGTGGGTTTACGGCTTACCGCAACCCACCCTAAAACCCCAACCCTGATTCTTAAACCCCCAACCCTAAACCGTAAACTCCCAACCCTGAACCGTAAACCCGTTGAATTTTGCGGTTGAAGGTTTAGCATTTAGAATGCTTAAGGTGGAGTTGGGAGGGCATCCCTCCAATAATCACCCTCAAAAACCAGCTAGGCCGGGGTAAATAGTAGCTAGTCAATCCCCACTACCCCTAAGCACCGGTAAGGCAAGCGAAGCTTCTTCTGCCTTGTAGCAACTTGATAGCGCTAAACCTCCCCGTTGCGTACTTGAAGGGTCAAATTAAAAGAGGCTGACATGCTAGTTTCCATAAATTGGGCAGCCTCCAAATATACCCGCTCATACTATATTCCTCATTATAGGGACCCCCGAAAAGGCATGTACCACTAATTTTGAGACAATTTCATATGAGCCATAGTCTATAATCCTAGTATCCCCATTAATAAGCCCCATAATTATCACCCCCCCATATAATCCCCTATAAAGAGTTTAGACGAGAGTACATATAGCTCCAGCTGTAGGGGGCCCAGGGTTCAGGGATTTAGGGTTCAGGGTTTAGGGCCTTTCATTCCCCAGAGGGCCCTAAACCAAATAGCATGTAAGCTATAGTCTAAACTCCTAGCATCCACCTTAATCACCCCTATAGTAGGCCATCGTAGGCCCCTAAATAATCTCCGATATATCCCCTTTAACGAGTTTTGAACATGGATCATATGGTAGTCTTCGAAAATCGGGGTACCCCAATACAGACCCCAAAATACTCTAGTCCTTATTGTAGGAACCCCCAAAATGGTACCCGTAATTGTGGGAAACCCCATATATCGTAAGCCTTTTTAGGGTCTACCTTGAACGCCAGTAGACTAAAGTTTTCGTTAACTCTTACTAGTTTTTAAGGTATAGTAGCCCATTATTTTAGGTAGCTTGGCTTTCCAGGAAGGGTTTAGTGCCCTCCATTGGAACGTCATAAGTCTTGAAGCATGGATGCCCTGAATCCCGCAACCTGGCCCTGCAGCAAATCAGTTCAGGTTCAGGGTTTGGGGTTTAGGGTTCAGGGTTTGGGTTTAGGGTTTAGGGTTTGGGGTTCAGGGTTTGTTCCGATGCAGTCGGAGACTGGACGTAGTCGCATTAATTCAGCAAAAGCAGAGCGTAGGGTATAGGGACCAAGTCCAGATGAAGTCAGTCAGGGCCATATGTTTGTTGGGTAAGTGGCCCTTAAACGCCTCCTGCTGAGTTGAGCTACCACGGAAAGGCTCATGGCGGATGGGTGTTACGATGGATATGAACTTCGTCCGTTATAGTGCTCTTACGATTACAGACATCATCGTCAATTCATGATTTCTGCGTTTGGCTTTATCGAAGTTCCATTGTTGACGCGAACCTCCTGATGGCTGCGAGTGCTACCACTACACGTGATGATGGACATCTGAACTTCGGACGCGAGGTTCCCTCTGTGTATACCACCGCACGAACGTGATCCTCCCACGGGATAGCACAAAAAGACACCAACGGTCTGACACATCCCAAACCCTACGCCCCCTACACTCCTGCCCTAAACCCTAAACCCTAAACCCCAGACCCTCAACCCTAAATCCTAAACCCTAAACCCTAAAACCACAGGTTTTGCAAAGAGCAAACCAAGGAGCAATTCCAACACAGCTTGCCCGAAGCGGCTGTACGCCCGACCCTCCGAGAGCTTGGAACTGCGGATGCTGTAGTGTCTGGTCCTCACTGGAAGAGGGTTTAGGGTTTGGGGTTCAGGGTTTAGGGCTTAGAGTTTGGGGGTTTTAGGGTTTAGGGTATTTGGGGTATTTAAGGCTCAGGGTTTCGCGCTTAAGGTTTATCTAGAAAGCCAGTAGCCCAGCACTGTGGTCTCCTAATTTCCTGCTACTTTGGCTTAACGTAGCGCATGATTTTGGGTAGGTCGGCTTTCTGGGTAGACTTCTGCTTAGGTGCACGGGCTCTCAGGGGCTGAAATTCTGTGGTCGTAAGCATGGGCCCTCACATCAGGCCCGAAACCCTATACCCTAAACCTGCTCTCGGGGGGGTCTCTTGAAGCCGGGTTAATCTCTGACAAGCGGCCAGCGGTTCTGATTATGTCAAGTAAGAAGGGCAGGAATCGTTTCCAGAGACAACCCCCCAAAGAAGAAGCTTTGGAACATCCCAAACTTTCCTAGATTTCATCATGCCCCTACAGTAGTCACAGTTACCAGGATGCGTACTAGCAGTTGTATGAGCTATAGTCTTAACTCCTAGCATCCCCCTTAATAACCCCTATAATAGTCCCTTCTAGAATCCCCTTTAAGGAGTTTAGACTACAGCTCATATAGCCCTAAACCCTAAACCCTAAGCCCCAAACCCTAAACCCTGAACCCTAAGCCCTAAACCCTAAACCCTCTGGGAGGGGGGAAAGTAATGCAAACCGAGGCCGAGGTGCCAGTCTCCGACAAGATCCAACTCACTGTTCATGTAAACGCCCAGTATGCCTCAGGCTTTACCTAGAAAGCCAATTTAGGGTTTAGGGTTTAGGGTATAGACCATAAGTATGGTCTACTTTCCCCTAGTTTCCTACCACTTTGGGTTAAAGTAGTCCACGATTATGGGTAAGTAGGCTTTCGAGGTAGGACTTGGGGATTTAGGGTTCAGGGTTTGGAGTTTAGGGTTTAGCAAGCAGAAGCACGCATGATCGATGTTTCTTTACGGCCTTCCCAGTTGGACACCCAATCTATTCGCTCGCCAATACTCCTAAGGGACATCTACACTCACAAAAGAGGCCATTATGAAAAACCTGCCTTATATGTGGTGCTTGTTCAGAATAGACTCCGTGCACCCTGACCCCCATCCCCAGCGGCCGAAAAGGCAGACGAGTTTGTTTCGGTTCAGGGTTTCGGGTTTTGGGTTTATGGCTTGGGGCTTAGGGCCCTAAACCCTAAACTGCGTCTAGGGGTCTTTCAGAATTGATGAAAAGGGTACATAGGGCATGTGTGGAGTATGGCGCTCGCAAGGCTGCACAGCAAAGTTGAAAGCAGAAAACAACGGAACCCTATAAACACGAAGCCTCTCCCACCCCCTGGACGAAACACTCAACCTTCAACCCTAACAACACACAACCCTAAATCCAAAACCCTAAACCCTAAACCCTAAACCCCTAACTCCTAAATCCTGAACCCTATATCCTAAACCCTTAACCCTAGACCCTATAAACCCTAAACCCTAAGGTAACAAAGCATGACTCTCTTGAGCCAAGTTTGCAGAGCGCATAGACGAGAAGATAGGCGGCGGGATGCTCCACATACTGAGCATCACCCCACACCTTAGGGTTTAGGGGGATAGGTTTAGGGTTTAGGGTTTAGGGTTTAGGGTTTAGTGGTTAGGTAGGAAGTATTAGGTATTAGGGTTTAGGGTTCGGGGTTTAGGGTCTGAGGCTTTATAGGGGTTTGGGGCTTATGGCTGGAGAAGTTTCGGGCTTGGGGTTTAGTGTGTAAAGCTTTTAGGGGTCAGGGTTTAAGGGAATTAGGGTCTGGGTCTAGGTTGTAGGGTTCGGGCTTCTGGTTTAAAGCTTCGCAGCTTGGTAACCTCCAAAGCCCTAAACATCAAACCATCAACCTACTTAAGCCCCCGCCCATCATGATAGAAGAAAACCAGTACCCCTCAAAATCCTGCAATGTTTAGGGTTCAGAGTATTATTAATATGTATCGGGAGGATATTTCTCACTTGGGGGTGGTGGGCTCTTTAGCAGGCTGTAGGCGATGATACCCCTGACCCTAAGCCAACCCCGAACCCTAAACAAGGCAATGTCCTACAGCCCTCTACACTTTCTGTTCAGCCCTCACCCATCATTTGTAGCGGGAGGGGATGACACAAACCGCTGACTACTTCGAAATCCTAGTTACCTATAATAATGGGCTTTTCTAACCATGTACATTATAATTATGGTCTACTGACGCTAAACCTGAATTAATTCAAAACCCTTAAACCTATAATCATGCACTATTGGTTTCTAGCTATATTAGTCTCATCAAGTAAGAAAACGTTTCTCGAGCGACCTATAAGCTGGCAGCATCGCAGATATCTGGCGGGTTTAGGGGTTTAGGGGTTGAAGTTGAAAGGTTCAGAGGTCGGAGTCGATTTCGGAGGCCGGGCACGGCATCACTCCGTTTGCGCTGCTCAGCTATACCGTAGGGCTACCAGAAGTTTAGGGTTTAGTGTTCCGGTGCTAGTAAGGGGAAATGATCCGCGGGAACAAGATTTATCCAGGCCCAGCAACCCTACGGACTTTTGCATTTGACTTACTTTTGGTTAGCAAGGAATGTAGAAGTTGATCCTTATTCCAGTCCCTATATAACCCCATTATAGTAGTTTCCATTTTCTTTTCCATTCCCTCATTCCCAGCTAAGCAGCTAACCAAAGGCCATGCGAAACGGCAAGGCCCCAAGAATTGAAGGTCTTGATTTCTGTGCTAGGCCGGGATGTTCCTACTTTGCGTCGTCCCACCCGTTTGCCTTGGGACGTCAAACGTGCTGTCCCTTTCAGGGTTTTGGCTTTCGGCTTGTATTTGCGATTGTCATACTAGTAGTGAGAGTAGCCGCAAGATAGTAATTGCAATAGGAATGCTATTTACCCATCGTGACCATAATGGTAATAGGAAGTAAACGGACGACTCCTGATTTAAAAAGGTGCAGGGAGGCACTGGCAATCTGCGACTTAGCCTTCTTACACCCAACACCCTACACTCCACATGCTGTTGGCTTCCTGGTGGTCAACAAAAGTATGTCAGTTGCCATTTCTCCCCTTCCTTCGTTCCCTGCTAACCGCCCCTGAACCCCGAACACCCACATAGCATAGCCCCTGCACTATAGATAGCACGAATGATTCCCATCTTCTTTTCCAGTCCCTTATATAGCTTTATTTCGCCCTCAACCCTGAACCCTAAATTTGTTGCCTTGTCCTTTCTCATGTCTTCATTTCCTGCTGGTCACCAGTAAGTTGGGTTCAGTATCCAGGCACCAAGTACCCGGTCACCATGTTCACCACCAACTGCAAGGACAGCTGTGCCTAAGCGGTTTCTGACGGATGCAGTTTGGGGCTTGGGGTGAACACTTGGAGGGTAAGGGGGGACTTAGTAAGTAGGTTAATAACCCCTATAAGCCATATACTAACCCCAATGTGATCCTCCTTGCTACAGTACTTACTAAGTCCCCATGGCCCTCCAAGTATGCTGGATAGGCTTTTAAGGTTTCGGGTGCCGGGTGCTGGCCAGGGCTTACAAACTCCCAAATACTATCATCCTGGTTACGGTCCTTTTTCGATACCCCAGCCCCTAATCCTTAAAACGAAAACCCTATGTGCCTATTTGAGGGTTTCCCAAATTAGGGGTACCATTTTTGGCGTCCCCATAATACGGACTATAATATCTTCTACATTGGGGTCTCCTTGTTTTGGGAAACCACCATTTATTATACCCCTATATGTGCCAGAATGCAAAAAGTGGCTGATACAACACACATGAGTCTGACTGCTCTGCATCCATGGAAGTCGCTTGGATTTGTCACATGTTCGCCTAACGCTTCCAGGTCATCTTCGTGCACGAATGTTGCAAAGAGCCTTACCTGGACCCCAACAGTCTGTAAAATAATAGCCCTCATGGCTATTATTAGGGGTTCAGGGCTATTATTTTACATACTGTTGGGGTGGAGGTATTCATCAGGCAACAACGCATTTCGCAGCACTGCATGTGCAGTAGGATAGCAACCTCCCAGGGTATAGGGCCCACCACAAATACCAGGATGTAATGCGCCCAAAACCTCACAAAATCCGAGTCCTTCCATGCAACGTCCGCAAAGCACTCAATCCACAACCCGGACATGCAATAGGGTCTAGGATTTAAAGTTTAGGGTTTAGGATTTACGGTTTAGGGAGTTTAGGGTCTAGGATCTAGGGAAACATGTGGCGGTTGTGCAGAATACCTGTTCCCAAATTGCTTGAAGGTAGATTCCATTACAGTATCCATTAGAAATTGCGCGAAAGCCAGAAACCCTACACCCCCCAATCCTAAACCCAACTTCCTTGAGAGCAAGCCCCGCTTCTCAACTGCTAGGCTGCGGGAATGTAGATAGCGACGTCGCACTTGGCGTTGGCAAGCACAGTGAAACCCATGCAGAAAACCTGCAAATGCTTGGGGGCCCATGGGACTTAGTAACTAATTGGGATTATAGCCCTACTTGTAATTGGGGTAACCCTCTTAAGTCCATTTAGAAGGATTATAAGTAGGGTTGTAAGCCCAGTTATAAGTAGTTACTAAGTCCCATGACCCTCCAAGTAGGGTTTAGGGCTTCATTCTTAAGGTTTAGGGTTTAGGTCTTCGGGTGATCAAGAACACAGCTTCTGGATGACATTTGCATCATATTCCTGAAAGCTGTAGGATTTTATACCACCCACACCTCAAACGACCCGAAAACCTCCAAAAAAGGCCTTAAGGGTTGAAGGCGTTTATGGCATGATTCTAGGGTTTAGGGGATTTAGGATTTGGGGTTTAGGGTTTAGGGTTTAAGTTCTAGGGCTTCGTGTTTAGGGTTTAGGGTGACCTAATGTTGCCTAAATGAGCTGTAATGGAATCGCTCATTCGTCTTTCCTCCCCTAAACCCTAAACCACTTCTGTCCACTTGAGCCAGGTCTGGCACGCATCATATTTTGGTACTCTGCTAGGTTGCTGTTAAGGAACTTAAATTAAGTTACCATAATGGGTATATATAGTAAATAATAGGGTTTCCCTAAGATAGTAACTTAATTTAAGTTCCTTAACAGGAACCCAGTCTATTGCTAATGTTTACTTGTGCAATATTTTCTTAGTCCCATATAAAGAAGAATATTTGTAGTAGTTCCTTGGGGTTGTGCTACAAAGAAACTCTTTAGATATAACTCCTACGGGGGTAGATCTGTTCAATAGCTTCTTGGAGTTTATATTTATTACAAAGCAGCTTAAAATCACTCTTAAGGAAAAATAGAGGATGAGGGGGGTTGGAGAGCTTATTGTTAAGGGGTGGTGATTAAGAGGGCGGACTGGATTTGGTGTCTTTAAGGTTTAGGGTTCAGGGGTTTAGAGCGTTGAATTTATTGTTTAGACTTGTTAGGGTTTAGTGTTTTGAAGCCCTAAACCCTAACCCTAAAGCCTAAACTTTACCCTAAACCCTAAACCCTAAAATGTAGCACTGGCTTGCCTGAAGTGTTGTTCGTAAGTCTGCGGTCTAAGTGCGAGGCTGGCTCCAAACTCCCTCGCTGAATGCTTTTAGGGTTTAGGGTTTAGGGTTTATTTGGGGGTTTCCCTAAATTAGGCGTACCTTTTTGGTGGATCCCCTAATTTTGGGAAACTACCATATAATGTTTTGACCCCCAAAATCTAAGCCCTATCAATCATGAAGTCTCGCAGCCCTAGATGCAGAACATTGAGCCTTACACGGAAGCTCTAAGCCCTAAACGCTGAACAATTACCCGGTGCTTGTCAAGGAATTAGAGGGTGGAACCCTGCAGTAGTCTCTACGTAGACACCCTACTGTAGCTACCCAAAATCATGGGGAAAGGCTAAACCAGCAAGGCTCTAGGGTCCAAACCTTTGTTTAGGGTTTAGGGTTTAGGGTAGTGGTATCTTTTCAGTTCTATGGGGGTTCGATTCCCTGCTAACCATTCAATTTCGGTGCGTCCAGCATCAGGGCGACCCTCTTTCTCTCCCCCCACCGCTTTGTGAGTGTGCAATATGCAAATGTTCGTTGTGCAGGTGTTGCAACTGTCCCGATTCAGTGTCCCAACTGTCCTAAATGGCACAAGCTGGCCCTGAATGTCTCGACTGTTTTGAATGTCCCATGTACAGCAAAGGTCTACAATAGGCGTCATATGAAGGGCTCTATGTAGTCCAAAACCCCGATCCCTAAACCCTAAACCTTATATAACACCCATCTTCCTTTTAAAGGAGCCCAGTATCCCAGTCATACCCATCAGTGGCCGGTCGCTAATCCACCCTGGACCCTACCTAGACACCTGTTGTGTGAACACAACACACTCCGGGTGCTCTAAACCCTAACCCTTAATTACATCCTAAACCCTAAACCCTGTACCATATACCTGCATGGACCCTTTGAGTTACTAAGCCCTCCTTACCCTCCGCGTGAGCTCGCAAAAAAATACAACTGGACAGATCCAGGCAACACCGTCCAAGAAGTAGAGGCAAATCACCACGGCTAGAGCAGCCCCTTGCCTAAGATTCACACGCGGTTTAAGGTTTAGGATTTAGGGTTTAGGATTTACGGTTTAGGAGCTTGGATTTAGGGCTTGCAAAAATGTGCGATTGAATAGCTGTTGCTTTTTTGGGGTGCTTCAGGGGAGTTTGGCGGTCAGAGGCATATCTTTCTTATAACATACAACTGTTTACGGTTTAGGGTTTATACCCCAAAGGAGGATGGCTCTAAGCTTACTATCTGCAAGTGTTGGGGGACTGAAGGCATGAGCTTAGTCTAAGTCAAAGCTCATAAGACACAATGGGCCGCATTTTGCAATCTACGTGGCACTTAGGACCCCTACTAAGGGTTAACCCCTCGGAAGATATAATAGGAGCATAAGGGACTCCCAAAGGGTTCAGGGTTCCAGGTCCAAGGCAAATCCCAAGTAGGAATACGAGAGTTGTATAAGGATTATAATGGCTCTTCCTCGTGGAGTCCGGAATTTACATTGGCACCTGGATCATGAAGCCCCGAATACTTCCCTAAACCCTAAACCCTGAAAACTAAAACCCTA